GATAGCGTCCAAACGCTAAATATAGCGGGGATTTCTCGGTGTAATTCCGTCGCAGGTGGAGTGTACCTCGAGGCTGCAACGGTTGAGCAGGGCGCCTCTGCGCATTCAGCTACACAATTATTACATCTATCTATTAAGATTAGAGAGAGGCAGAAGAAAAGGCATATGATCAAAAGGGAAGGAGTATTCTAGTAGCAAATATAGGCCACATGGCTTATTAGCATGGCTTATTAGCCGGAGAGAAGCAGGATGTCCCCGGCTCGGACTCGAACCGAAGCCATATCCCAGGTATCATGAATGGGACGACAAAATGGGTATAACTGAAGCTCTGGCCAGTGAGCTGCAGGGTTTGACTCCACTTTTCACCTATATTGGCTAGTGTGCTACGGACAGAAGCTACCTTATTAAGGCCGGTCACCGAGCAGCTGAGTCTCAACTTGAGACGCGTACTCAGAAATGCCTCCAAACCGTCATGAATATCGTCCGTAAATGAACGAATAGATAAACCATGACCCTGGGTAGGGAAGGGAGGGAGGAGGTTCGGAACCACGGCACTACCTTGTAAGGATTGGTGTAGGAATAAAAATGTGCCTCTGGCACCGGAAGCAGCGGGAAGCTTCGGACAAACTCCTACGAATGACTCAGGAATACTATCCATGGAACATGGAAAAAGAATATGACTGTTATTTGATTGGTTGTTGAAAAACAGCATAGTAGTTAGTGTGCGCCCATGGCCAAAATTAAAAATTGAAAAACGAAAAAAACAAGTGCCCCCACGCGGGATTGAACCGCGGACCTCTTCATGGCAGTATTTGTGATACGAGTGAAGCGCTCTACCACTGAGCTACAAGGGCTGACTTGTTGAAAAACGCCTCCCAACATCAGCTTATATCCTACTAAATGTTTTAGGCGCTTTGTTACACCGTCAACTTTTGTCTATGAGACATGGATTCATACAACTTGGTCACTTACTACTCTGTAGGTATTTTTATTGATAGTTGAAATATGCCGAAGGTTTATCTAGTTTTTGGAAAGACGTACTTTCGATGTGGAAAGCGTCTCACTTAGCTTTGTCTATGGATAAAGGAGGCTATTCCTTCTCTTTTTTGTGCTTTGTTTGCTTATGGATTAGACTAGGTCAATTCATACTATATGAACAAGGGCTCTTGGGGCCTGGGGTTGGTTACTAATATTATTCACATTGTAGCTATCTTCAATTCACATAGCTGTCCATCATGCTCACAAAAATAACTCCATCGTGACGGCAGTGATCGACATTCCTTGATCATGATTGTACTATCCTGCTCTAGCCCTACGGGACGCCAGGCTGTTCAATATATATATCCTCATGGCGTCTGAATGAACATCGGCAACAAAGAACTACCACCACTACTGATCATATAGTTCCCTCGAAATTAATCGCATAGCCGAGTTAGTTTCGGGCCTGGATACCCTACGTGGAAATATGATCGAAATAAAAACAAGGATCCTGTTACTGACGAGGGAGAGAATTAAGTCATGTTCCCGAACGCAAGTAATATACCGCCCAAAACCTTAGAAAGCCAGAAAAAAGAGAGAGGCTAAGGGAACAGGATTCGGAGAAAGACATTAGTAGAAAATGATCCAGAAATAAGTGGGATGTCTCTCCGCAGGCGACCGTCGAACCCAGCGACATTTCTACACCTCAGTAGAGCACGACTAGTCACCCTTCCCAGCACGAATAGAGTATCTCCGCAGGTTCAAGTGTAAATTTCGACTGACGCGTTATAAAAAAAGAAGGCGGTTGCTATGTGGAAGATCTGATATGATCTATCTGACCAAGATGCTCTGACTGAGTGGGCAGTATGATGGCTGTGATGTTCTCTAGGGTGTTCGTCTTGATGGAATGATAAGAACTGAGACCTACTGCCATAGATATTGGTGCAGGTATGGTATTTCTAAATCTGAGTCAATGAGTCAAGTATAAACTCTCTCATTAAGATTGAAAATGTATACATCAGCTGATCAATGCTGACCGACTTACCCATGCCCCAACTGATAACAGTAGGTAGGGGAACTGCAATCTGACCAGGAGATAAGATAGCCAAGGGTCAACATATAGATAACAAAGCAACCGATCCCTGTGCGTTCTATGCTTAATTAGTTTAATTTGCTTCCCTTCTAAGATCCCTTCTAAGATGAGATTAGCAGGTAGATCCAGGATTGAATTTAGGGGCTTTGGTTCGGGTTAATTTGCCTTTTAATCAGTGAAGCTTAACCGTGGAGTGGTTAATTTAGGTTATGCAAATAAGGTTTTTTGGCATATCAGTGAAGGTCATTCATTGGGGATTTCACATAAAGTGTGTGGTTTTCCGTTGAAATTCTACTACTTCCTACTGGCTATTCTTAGAGATATAGGATTATTAGCCGTTTGTAATGTGTTCTTGAAAGCCGTAAGTTATTAACATCTGTCACTTAATCAGATACAAGCCATTGCGCAAGCCATTACCGCTTGCTTCCGCGCTCCAGGAAAATCCCATATGCTTTATATATGCCCTGTAATCATGTCATGCGTCCTTCACATTTCATGTCCGTATGCTTCATGTACAATATCCCCGACAAAGCGCACACTTTTTTCTTGAAGAGGTCTTCAAAAGCAACACCCATCCAACCCCGTTCGTAACGTACTAGATCTTATACTTCAAGACCTTTCCAGTCTTTGCTAATCTCGCCGCACAGAGCAGACAGAACCCAACAAGCATCGAGCACGCCGCGAAGAGCTGCGCATATACATAGCGGCCATTGTCCCTCGTGATCAGAACACCAGCGATAGGCGGACCTGTCAATACGGCGAAACTGACGATTGTCTACACCCAAGTTAGCAACCAGCTTCACTTTTTCCTAAAGTAGTCAAAGAGAAGGGGGGGACTCACGAAAATCATCCCCATCCTGACACCCGCCTTCTGCAAATCAGTCGTCAAGCTACTCAACGTAGCCGGAAACATCCCCTGCAAACCATTTCCCACAATACCATAAACAACCGTCCATGCATAAAGCCCCGAGATAGACGTAACGCCAATCATTGCAAAAGCGCAAATAATCGAGAACAAGGTAACCACAATAAGAATATTCATCGGCCCGGTATACCTATCAGCCAGGTACGCAGGGACCGGACGACCGATGATACCCAGACCGTTCAGAATAAGAGTAAAGGTGAGCGACTCCTCCTGAGAGATGTTGATAATCGCAACACCAAAAGAACTCAGATAGTAGAAAGCGAAGTAGACACCCCAGAAGGTCAAGAAGATGCCGACCGCAAACAAAGTGTACGATGGTTCCTTGAAAGCAGCGAGTTCAATGAGAGGACCTGTTTTCCGAGGCGGCACTCGCGGCCTGGCTAGAATGTTGCAGATGATTAGACAGGCTAGTGTGAAGAAGCCGAAGACTCGCATCGTCCAGCCGTACCCGATCTGTGGGATCAGGTGTTGGAACATGACGGTGAAGATTAGACCTCCTGTGGCACTGCCGCAGGCGCAGATGCCGACGGCGAGCATTTTGCGCTTCGCGAAGTAGGTGGATGTTACTGAAAGGGCTGGGCAGAATAGACATCCGTTTCCGATGCCGCAGCAGATTCCTTGCGCGAGGAATATCTGGTAGTATTCGGTTGATATGGAGGCCATGAACATGCCGAGGACGCTGAGGATGGTTCCGACCACTGTAGTAATTAGCATATACCTTCAATAGCGGGGATGTCATATTTTGGAAGTTATAAGCCCGAGATTCCTCTCTCTCAAGATAGCCCGGATAAGAATAGAGAATACTCACCAAAAACCGGCCGAAAGTAACCCGCATCAGTAAACCGACCCGTAAAAGTACCAATAAAGAAGACAATAAAGACCTGAACACTCCCAATCCACGAAACATCCGAATCCGAGCGATTAAGATAGTCGACATAATACGTCTGAAAGATACCAAACGAATTCATATAGCCCCTGGCCCTATTTCAGCATATTTTTCACGATACGGCCAGCACAAAGTGTAACCACGCTCCTGGAGGAACCAATTGAGCTTTCACACGTGCAAAAGCAACGCATTGGAACCTACCAGGTATTCATAATAATCAAGTGTCCTACTAAGACTTGTGTCCATGCGAGCGCTCCGCCGTCTGGGGGAGGACCGGGGTCTTTCCAGCTTGCGACGCTTTGTGATTTTGAGAGTATCCCCCATTTTTTCTCTTTGATGGTTTCATTGTTGATTGTCTTTTCGTCGAACTCGGTTATAGCTTCTGGGTATGCTTCGACACTGCTATTGTCGGTCATGTTGGTGGTGTTGGTGAGTGGTACCGGTGGGTTGGTTATTAGAATAGTATGGGTATGATTGTCGCAATTGGATCGTGAATTGCTTTATTATTCAGTAGAAAAGTAATTAGGCAAATCTACAGTACCTGATCAGCATAATTGTTTCAAGAGCGCAAACCAACATACCTATTATTTCGCATTCATGGCATCTATGAAAAGAATTGACCGTCACAATTGCATAGTTATAAAAGAACAAAGACATGCAGACAAAAGAGTGATTTCCAGTCATAAAGATAAAAAAAACAAAATGACTCAATAATAGTGGTCTTAATGCGGCGTGGCGAGGAATATTTCCTCGTAGTCCGGTTTCGGACTAGTCCATGTTACAGGGCGCGGAGATGAAGGAATTTCCTGAAGAAGCAAGTCAGCAGAGACGCTTGGATCCGAAGCAAATTGACGGTGAAGTGCCTAGACTTGGCTACCCTAACTTCCCTAAGATCGACTAAGATATAGTCTCCAGACACTAAGATAAGTCTAGACACGTCACCGTAATCGGGGTGGGGCATGTATCTGCTGCTTTCCCCGATGTTACTCTACCATCCCACTCCATACACTAAGACTGCGGACAAAGTACTTCAGATAGCATCTTGCCACGATAAGCACTAACCTGTCGATCGACAGTAACAGGGAATCAAAAGGTACAGAAAAGGGCTTAACTGAGGGGTAATTTGAACAGGGATCAGGTACCAGGTCCAAGCTCAATTGATAAGGGTATTGTGCTCTAATAAAATGGGCAAATGCCCTGGTATACCTCCGTAGAAAGGACACCTCTTCTTGTCTCTTGTGAACATAGCACGTTCATACTCTCTGATTATCTGACTACTAGCAATGGCCTCACCACAAACCATCTACCTCGCTGTCAGCCAAGCGCACACCCTCTCCAGCACCTCGGAGACTGTCCAGGCCTTGTCCCAGCAATGTCGGCAAGCAGCCAAGCAAACCCCATCCCCCGATCTGATTCTCTTTCCGGAAGCTTACATTGGGGGCTATCCTCGTGGGGCGACCTTTGGTGCCAAGGTGGGATCTCGCGACGATGAAGGCAGAGAACAATACCTGAACTACTTCAAGGATGCGGTGGATCTGGGTGATACGCCTGAAGGAGCGGGGGAGAAGTGGGTGAAGAGGGAATTGGAGGGGCAGGACGGGAGTGGAAGTGGAGTCCGAAGGGGCGATGGAGTCCGCGAGGAGCTGGAACTAGTGGCTCGCGAGACGGGTATCTTCATCGTTACTGGATTGGTTGAGAGGGCTGGAGGGACTCTTTATTGCGCAGTAGTTTATGTCTGTCCCAAGTTGGGAGGTGAGTATCCGCATGTACTTTTGATGTGGAGTGTGGAAGCTGACATGATGCTATTATCTACACAGTGATTGGCAAGCGGAGAAAGGTCATGCCGGTAAGTATTCCTCTTTGTATTAATTAGTATTAGGCTGACCAGCACTAGACAGGAAGTGAGCGTCTGGTTTGGGGCCAGGGACAGCCCTCTTCGCTCCGTGCTGTGACGACCACCATCAAAGGCGTGAAACTCACACTAGCAGCTGCAATTTGCTGGGAGAACTACATGCCACTGTTGAGACATTCCCTCTACAGCCAGAATGTCAACCTCTACCTCGCACCTACAGCCGATCAGCGCGACGCTTGGGCCCCTCTCATGAGAACTATTGCCTGCGAGGGTAGATGTTTCGTCTTGAGTGCCAATCAATGCCACAGGAAGAAGGACCAGCCTGCCTGGGTGTACGGGGAGAAGTCCGATAGTGAGGAGTTCGCCACCAGAGGGGGTTCCTGCATTGTAGCTCCGAATGGAGATATGCTGAAAGGACCGCTGTGGGAGGAAGTAGACGGCATGATGATGGTGGGGGTGGATTTCGATGATTGTCTGAGATACAGACTGGATTCGGATGCTGCTGGAAGTTATTCGAGGTATGCAAATGTCCTGCAGGAATTTTAGTGTGTTGCTAATTTGATCGAACAGAAACGACTCGTTCAAGTTGATTGTAAATGGACTTGATATCAGTCCTCCTCTTTGAAGTGAGTAAGGGTATCTTAGCTTACATGAACAATACACATCAACGATACTTCGTCTTTTGCACCGAGGAACTATCCCAAGAAAACATGTAATCCTATGTAGTAAATTGGAAATGTACAGACTTGACAGAGGATGATTCTTGTCTGATTTCGGTGGCCGTCTCGCTTTTGATTTTCTGAAGTGATATGCAAGCTCATACCGCATACTATCGAGTACGCTCCAAGCTCTAGTACAACCGATCTAGTATAAACCCCAAACTCTATATACTCAATTCTATACAACAGTATACGAAACCCGACTAACCCCCTTTGACCTCGAAATCTTCTTCACCTCAATCCTCCCAACCAAACTACAATCCGTAACATGCGTCCCTCCACAAGGATAACTGCCCAACCCCTCCATCTCCACAACCCTCCCCAGCGTCTCCCCTTCAGGCAACGCAAACCCCTCCGCAACAAAGCACTTCTCCATCAACTCCTCCATGGACCACCAGTGAATCCTAACAGGACTCGCCGACTTCACAAACTCATCCGTCTTCGCCTGAATAAGCTCCTTGTGCTTCCCCTCCAACGTGCCCTCGAACGAAACCGACGCCGACCCGGGATAATGCGACGCCTTCGACTCCTTCACCGGGGGAAGCACACCCTCGCGACACAGCGCATGGATCGCCAAACTCATGACATGTCCAGCAGTATGAAGCCGAGAGTGCAGGTTGCGCTTCTCGGCGTCCACGTGCTGCTGGACTTCCTCGCCTGAGTCGAACTGGGTCGTCCCGACCGGGACGAAGCGGCCCAAGTGCAGGATCTGATTGCCCTGGGCTGGTTGGCGGACGGACTTCACTTCGAAGATGGAAGCTGCTTTGGGCGCTACCTCCGTGGTCATGGTTCCGGTGTCTGAGGGCTGGCCGCCGCCTTGGACGTGGAAGATCGTGGAGTCGGTGACCACGGCATGCTCGATTTCTGGGGAGTCTTTGGCTAAAGCTTGGTCTGCCTCTGGGAGGTTGGAAACTGGAATGATGGACAGAATTTTGGCTCCATGGAGCAGCAGTTGTCCGTCTTGTTGGTAGATGAGTTTTGTGGATTCGGACATCTATCAATTTGTTAGGTTGGGGCCCCGGATTATGCTGACTAGGAGGTTTAGACGTACTGTGATTGGGCTAGATCTGCCGATGCGATGTTGGGTGCAGTAGACTCTTCGGGAGGGCACACGCTGGGATAAAGATAGTCAGAAACGTAGCTGACGGTGCATTTGTGTATAAATAAATATCCAAAATCTTATGGTAGATTTAGAAGATAGGTGGTGGAGTAGTGGGTGCTAAGCAGCCTATATGTACCTGATAGACGGGGGTGGTCCGAGCTTCTGGCTAATGTAACAACCAGTCCTTGTCACTGTCAGGGCGTGTCCGCGCTAATGTATGTAAGATTTGTAACAGATCATTATCGGTTTGGTCACACTTTCATTGTAACCATAAAGAGGCGAATAGCGAAATACTTTTTTGTGAGAGCTATAGCGAAAGGTTTTATTACCCTAAAAAATTCATGAACTAAACAACATCCCGTTTCCATACTCGTTATACTCTAATGATACTAAACCCGCGAAAGCAACTCCTGCCCCTGTTCCCACTGGTCCCGATCCCTGATATACCGCGGGTTTTTCGCCACAATGGAGCAAGGCAAGAAACGCGAATGGTCAATGTCGTAAGTTATGCTCCCACTCACACCATCCAAAGCGGCAACAATAGCGGCCTCACACATGGTATGACACCGATGACCCCAGCGACCGGCAATCGCCTCCCGGATCCATTTCTGCTCCAGCTGCTGCTTTAACTCCAGCGTGTCTGTCTCCAGCGTAGCAAGCTCGAGGTGGCGAAGCGCATCCATAATGATCGCAGCGGCCGGTGCCTCGCGAATCTCCAATGCCTTGTCATCCGTCGATAGGAACTCAAGACCAACGAACCGACCATGACCGAACTTGCCGACCTCCTTGTTCAGGAGTGCAATGGCGTCGATAAGGGGGAGCTCGTCGCCGTTGATGGAGGAGAGGTTGCCGTTCTCGAAGCTCAGGGTGAGCTTCTCGGGGGCATAGTCGCCGCTGCGCCGCGTCCATTCGTAGGCTTCTTCGGGGATGTTGAAACCCTCTGGGTCGCCTAGCGGACCGTCTTCGAATTCTCGACACCATAAGTTCTCGTCTCCGCTTAGCTTGCGCTCAGCCATGATTGACAGTCCGGCTGCGGATAACTCTGAGGCTTTCTTCTCGCGCGAGGTCACGGATTGGACGTAAGGACTTCCGAATTTGCCAGAGAAGCCGTAGAGACGAATGCAGTTGTTCAGTCGGGGAAGACTGTTCTGCGAGAGGTTTGCAGTGTGGAGAAGCAAGCCTGCATTCACGGAATTGGCGTAGTCTGTGATCAGACGAGCGATGACCGGACGAGTGATGGAGCTACTAATGGGGAACATGCGCATGTATGATGCGTGAGCGCGAATGGCTGGCATGACTCCATCTTTGACGAATAGCTCGCGACCATCGAGACACTTGAACGAAGCTCCAAAGTGAGCAGCGTGTTTGGTAAGTCCTGCCTCGTCTACGGGAGCTCCAACATCTACCGCGACGGCATGGATGTTGGTGTAGCCAAGCTGCTGGAGCTTGAGGAGCAGGTAGGTGCTGTCCAGACCACCGCTGAACATAGTGACAACCGGTGCATCTTTCTTGTCGAAGTCTGCAAGGTGACCAAAGCTTTCAATGGGCCGCCGTTCTTGTTGGGAACGGACCAGCGCGGCCTGGGCCGTGACGGCATCAATGGCACCTCCGTGACCGTTGGATTGTACAGTCATTGTGTTGAGGTAGGTGATAAAAGAAACAAGAGGTAAACGGAAAAAAGAATGAAGAATGACTTGGACCTTGTTGTTCAGGTTGCGATGTCTAACAATAACTGGAGGTTTATATCACTACCATGATGGGTAATTATACTATCGCGGGACGTACTTTTCTCATACAGCCATCACTCTTACACTTCACATTTAGTCACCCTAGCCAATTCTCTTTTCTCTATTAGCTGCATCAGAATACGAGTCTCCTCATCTCAACAAGTCCAGATCTTCGGCGATGGCAATATGCAGCAAGCATCTAGGCTTCATCATCATCTGCAGGCGCTGTAGCCTCTCACTAGCAGATGTAACCCATAATACGGACATTGCCGTCTCCAGGTGAATACCGTTTCGTGCTATACAACCGTGCTAAATCTGGGGGCCGTTTCACTGCAGAGAAGTGGAGCAGGAGATCTAGCCCGTTACTAGCTGATCCCCAGTCATATTAATATGAGGTATATACAATGCACCGACATCGGGTTCATCCCGGCACTTACAGGATCGATTTACGTGTTCGGCTTTTTAGCTGCTAAAAGCCCTGATAGGAATTATCAGGTGATGCATGTGATGTGGGGAAAGAAATGCAGGGGGTGAATAGCTTATACATAGCCTCATCAAAGGGGTTAATATGTTGTGTTTTTTATGAAGAGTAAGCCCTAAACTGCTTCGGGTGATGTTGGTTGTGGCGATAGTTGTGGGGTAGGACGGCTACAAGCGCGGACTACTGTTGCCGAGAGGTATCTAGATTGAGTCTGAAGAATCATAATACTATTACCTGCTTTCCTCGTTGATACACTTATTGTCAACTAATTATGCATGTCTTTAGAGACGTCGGCTCTATCCGCCTATCATTGCCTTGAATCTCTAAGCTAGAGGCATTCCGGGCAAAAGCACCAACTACATGGCCCTTCTAGTGCCTACTAAGTAGAATCCTCAGCGCTTTGACCACGGATCTCCGAATCCTTCAAGCCTCTCCCTTTGTAATATCAAAAGGTAATCTCATTCGCCTCCTGATATCTACCGAAAAGGCCCAGATCATTACCTGAATAGGAAGGCGTTACAGATTTGCCATTAGAAGATCAACAGATCCCGCTAACGATCCTTCATACTCGACAAAAGTACTGTACAGTAGTTATGCTTAGCTGTTTAGTAGTGCTTACGCATAGTAGTGGTTGTATCCGTGTAATACAAGCAAGTAACCAATCAGTCAGTTGATCGATCAATCCTTTGTATAGCTAACTAACATGCGTTTCATACCTTCTCTCGCTCGAGAAGACAACTTCCTCTTCGAGCAAACATCCCGAGCAAGTCGTCGTCTCATAGTTGCCATCGCCCAGCCGTGGACCAGATCCTGAAGATGATTTCGCGATCTAGAACAGCTAGCAAGGTAGTATCAACACTTAGCGAACACGAGGATGGAATCGTCTATCCTTCTACGGGTTACAACGGGATGAATCACGCCATTGCAGAGCCGTCTCTGAGATTCTGGCCCCTTAGCCATGGTGGAAGTAGGAAAGAGACTTGAGAGTCTGTATACATCGGACAATGATGCTGTATACTTGCCGTGGCCGTCACGAGAGGGCCAACCCCAGGCGCATATAAGAAGCTCGAAAGCTGCAAGTTCTCTGGCATTAAAGTAACAAGTCAACTCATCTTTCTCTAACCGGAGACACTTTCTTCAAGCGTTCTTTCCCCCTCAAAAGTTCAACATGGCCATCACCGAGCCCATTCTCGTTGCGGAGTCTCTCCCAACCATCGAGCTTGACCTTCTCCGAGCAGACAATGAAACGGAGAACAAGAGACTCCTCAGCGTCTGCCAGAACTATGGCTTCTTCTACCTCAACATGACCAGCGATCCCGAGCTCTGCCAGCTTTGGGAAGACATGCTGTCCATCATGAAGGAGTACTTCGAGCAGCCTCTTGATATCAAGATGCAGGATGCTCGCAACGATGACAACTTCGGGTAAGTCACATCACATAAATCATTCTGCATTATCACCACTGACCATCCCAGCTACGAGCCCATGGGCACCGAAGAAGGCCCCAAGCCCAAGACCCGAGACGGCTATGAGTCCCTCAAGGTACGATACCCCCGTTGCTACACCTGTACCCATGAAACTAACAATATCCAGTTCTCCCGCCGCGAATACCTCAAGAACTCAACCGACCTCACAACCAGCATCCGCACCAAATCCACCCCCTTCTTCAACTTCATCAACCAAGCCCACACCATCACCCTCCTAATCCTCTCACGCCTCTCCACCCAACTCGGACTCACCGGCTCCTCCCGCTTCGAAACCTACCACGCCGACCCCGGCCCGTCCACCTCAACCCTCGGTATCCTACGCTACCCCAAGCATGAGTCCGGAATCAGCGAGCCCACCAGCGTCGGCCACAACCAGCACACCGACGTCGGCACGTTGACCTTCTTGCTCGCGGCGCAATGGGGTCTGCAGTACTGTTCTCCCCAAACCAAGCGCTGGGAATTTATCGAGCCTCGCCCCGGCCACGCTATCATCAACGTGGGCGATAGTCTTCGCTTCCCGTCGGGTGGGGAGCTGGCGAGTGTGGTACATCGTGTTGTGCCGTTGAAGGAAACGCAGGAGGAGGATCGTTACAGCATTGCGTATTTCTTGAGACCGAATGATGATGTTACTTTTAGGGATGCTACGGGCAAGATGTGGTCTGCGAAGGAGTGGCATGATTTTAAATTCGATGTGTTCAAGAGTCCCAGTACGTTGGATGCTAAGGGGAGGTTTTTGACGGGGATGATGTTGGAGGAGGAGAGGGGGAGGTGGGTTGGTGTTGCTGGTGAGGGAGGTGTGGCTGTTGCTGTTTGATTGTGCCAGTACTTTCTTTGATTTGGTTTTTGATGTTAGATAAAATGGTGGATGAGTATGGTTATGCTAAAATATATGCTGAGAGGTTTTCATGCTCTATTGAGTACATGCTAGACTAAAGACGATCTATCGTGTCTATTCAGCCAGAAGACGTAGAGAAATTTGTCGCATGATTATATGTAGCAATATATACAGTATTAAGTACCTGCACTACAGTCCCAGGCTGCAATATAATCGCGAAGTAGAAAAATCTTAAGAGTTGCACTGCTAATGACATGATCTCATATTTATCAGTGCTCTTCTATTTATTGTCTGTTGGTTTGACTCATAATGCCAAAGTGACAAAAAGCATGCTAGTGATCAATTTATTTGAGAAACAATTTCTTTCCCCATCTGATTTGGGCAGCTATTAATTATGTAGCCAAAAATGGCAGTAGCAGTTCCTTGATGCCTATAGGTGGTTACGCTCTCATCCGGGCCAATTTGGGCATTTATGCATAATTTTACCAACTAATCGAGACATGGCGCGTAGCTACCTACTTCACTCATATATCCTATTGCGTCTCCCTACCACAACCTTATTCTCTTATTCTCTCCTATTCGACGTTACCCTCTTTTCCTTTCTGAACTTTCCAAATTAGATGAATTTCTACTCTCCATGGCGTGCTCGCTTGCTGGACTGGCCTATAACTCTAATGAAAAAGAAGGAGAAGATAATGATACTGAGAATACATGTCTGCTTTGTGACTGTCTGGATGGTGTAGTAGTTGGCGACGCGAGCCACGGTTCTAAAGAATTTTTCAGCAGTGATGGCACGTTTATTATACCCAAGGCCCAGTCAGCCTATTTCCACAAAGATTGCTCTCAGTGCCCCGATGTATATCAGGATTCACTTTGCATGATCTGCAAACACATGAGACTCAGGCACCTGATACAATGTTTACTATTATCCGATGCATTGATTGAGGAAGATCTGCTTGATGGCCCTTTGGAAGTTCCAGCCATACTGGATCAGATCTATCTGAATTTAGGACGCGTCCGAGCTCTAGAAAAACGTTCCAGCTCTTGCGACACCTGCCGCATGTTTTCAGGGCCAGCTAAAGAGATGATGGAAAAGAGGGGATTGTTACCCAATTCACAGTGCACCATAATTTTGGAAAAAGTAGAAGCTCAAATAGAGTGAGAATCGGGGGTAATGTCTGCAGTTTGACTCTGCGTTTGGTATTGGACGGCTCGCAAGCAAGATTGAAGGATTATAAGACATCATATGATCTAATGCCCAATCGGCAGTTGATAGGTATGTACCCTTTAAGCTAACAAGGGGGTTTCTATATGGAGCAATGAGTACTGACCGGCAAAACGCAGGGGAAAAGCGCTTTCTCGGGACGATCGAACCTACCCACGGCCACCAGCTCGTTTCTACGCCTATGATTCAGCAGGAGGTCGAGTGGCACATGGTTCTAGAGTGGTTGAGAGAATGCTTCCATACTGATGAGCACAAAGACTCCTGCCAGAGAAAGCCAGACGGCCCACAGATATCTGGGCTTCGGGTCATTGACACCAAACGACGTCGTATTACAATTGCCCCTGCGAGATGTCGATATGCGACTCTAAGCTATGTTTTGGGAAACACGAGCAGCAGCTTGCAGGCAACGACGGTGAACATAGCCCATCTGACTAAGAGAGGCTCTTTAAGAAGCAGTAAACTGCCCCAAACTATTGATGACGCCATTGTTGCTTGTAGAAAAATGAAGATAGACTATCTTTGGGTTGATCGCCTTTGCATATTGCAAGATGATAATCCTGACAGAAAAGCTTACTGGCTCAACTCTATGGGACAAATCTACGCACAGTCATATATAACTCTTATCGCTTTGGCTGGAAATGATGCTGAACATGGCCTTCCTGGAGTTAACAAGGTGAAGAGAATGGACCCCTGGGCCGGGACAACACAAGGGATATTTCTTAGAGCCAGGCCCCCCTACTATGACGAATGTCTACTGGATTCAAGATGGGTCACTAGGGGCTGGACGTTCCAGGAGGCAGTGTTCGCAACCAGACGGCTTTCATTTTCCGATACAACGGTCTTTTGGGATTGTTCCCACCCCCGGATCATCTATGATGAAATTTATGGTGCCCGCTACAGGGAATTCTGGGAAAGGACTGCACTGAGATCTTATCGGATGGCGGTGGAAGAGTTCACAAAAAGGGAACTAACATGGGAGTGGGATGTACTTCATGCATTCGCAGGCGTTCTACACACGAGATGGGGTCCTGAGAGTTATTATGGCTTTCCCCTGAGTAACTTCAGTGAGGCAATGCTCTGGACGGCAATAGACAAGGTGCACCCCACACGGTATGCAGCTCCTGGTGATGCATTTCCCACCTGGTCGTGGTCTTCTATTAAAGGACCCATCAACATTGAGCTGTCATACAAGGACTATCCTAGGTTTGACAACATGCGGTCCTCCACAGCAATCTGGGCAATTCCGTCAAGGTTGAGTGAACAGCCAGCTCTGCAGCTAATCACAAATGCTTCGAGGCAGCCAGAGGGGCTCGAGAAAACGGATAAGAGAGAGTCGCTCAACGACAAATATTTGACTGATCAATGTCGACTTCTCATTGCGATAGCTTGGAAATGTGGATGTTTCTCGGGGTCTCTGCCGAAGGGTCTCAACACTACAAATACATGGGAAGAATGCAACAATATTGTCCTTGAAAGAAGACCCCTTGCGCAGCTTAGTGATGAAGCTCATGGGATGCCCTGGGGTAAAATGTCCGATCAAGATTTGGAAGCAAGATTTCCTCTAATCATGCGTCAAGAATGTCCTCCTGGATCCATCTTCGTCTATACCCAATCACTCAATCTCAACCCCTTTAAACTGAGCCTAAAGAAGCATAGGTGGTGGAAGGAAGACATACTTGTCATTGCAGGTGCCAATTTTGTGGCCCCAGTCATCCCTGGATCCATCAACTTGGAGCGAATCAATCGTGTTCGCCAACGGAGCCCCAATTCTCTATTCATGCTTATCGCACTCTCTGTCACTACCTGTGAACGCACAGAAATTGCTGGAATGGAGAAAAATAATCATGAGCATTGGTATGATTCTGCAGGAAAATCATTAAGTTCTACATTTCAATGGCCTCTTGAAGTTGAGCTTATGCTGGTTGCAACGGAAAATGGCGTTAGTCGGCGTGTTGGACTGGCAACGGCCTATCTGAGACACTGGGTTAACCAGAACCCCCGGTTTCGTACATTTCACCTTGTATAGAAAGAGAAAAACCGATACTCGAAAGTTCTTGAAGTTTGGCAGATTGCCAACAAGCTCGTTTTAGATACAAGAGCACGAAAGTGGTTATGCAAAACCCTTTCAGGGAATTCTAGGTAAAACACCATTCGTATAAAGTATGGCTCTATGCAGGGAAAGAAAAACTATATTGCCCGACCAGCGATAAATAGGTAACCAGAGTGTACAAGCATGTAGATGTAGTAGCAGCGCCATTGTATTTGGACCATTCTATGCTATTGAAACTTGCTTTTGCTTACATTCTCGCATGAGTTCCTTTTCAAAATTGAAATTTGAATATGCATGGATTCTGAAAGAGTTACATCAGAGAAACCAGAATCAGCAATCGATCCATGTCAGCAGTACTCGTCCTAAGAAATCACTAGCCATCCCCCTAAACCTCCCTTCCATACCACTCGCCTAACTCAATTAGTTTGTTCATTGTACGTGGATAAGGTACCGCAACCCAATTCTGCAGAGCACAAAACAGGGATATTTCAAGTCCCCAGTGAGCCTCCAGCATAATTCGAGAAATTACCCCTTTTTACTTTCATAATCTTGTATACAAAGCGAGTGATTGGTTGGTTCAAGGTCATGGTGACCTCGGGCCAAGCCATCCCTCTCCCACTTCGATTACTACTGTGTAAATTGAACCCAGTTTACTGTCGTTCAATAAGTTGTCGCTAAAGACAATAGTGCAATTATAGCTTGTGCCTTGTGTTTATTATTTCTCATACTTTAACCGACAACTAAATCATGAATGTCCTTCACGTTGACTACAACACCACTCAAAGAGGAATATCCTGTAGAAGCACAGAACTTGTTTAGCTATAGAGACGCGGACAAGTACTTCTCCTAGGCCAGGCAGAGACTGATACTTTGCAGCTACTGGTCTCTCCTGTCCTTGTCGCACTTGAAAAACCGTGAGAGATTGTTCTATATCTACCAGAGCAATATCACTTGGTAGCGACATAAATTAATTACCTCATACGACCCTCGAACAATACCGACCACCTACTCAGCGCCGTTCAACTTTCCAGCTCCCACCCAACAACTATCTACTCCTCAATTCGCCTTCCCATCGAATTCACTCCTCATCGCGTCTACAGGTCCCTTCTTCTGCATCAGGGAGGAGATTTGTTTCTCCTGGCTCTTCCTCATCGCTTTCCACGCGCCAGTAATTCGCGCAGTGGAGGGCAGGTGCGAGTTGTTTCCACCGCGTGGTGGAATTGATTTTGGGTCCAGAATTCCCGCCCGGACCATTTCATGCACACTCGGATGGATGACAGCGTCTTCGGGGATATCGCGAGGCGCGCCCATGTTGGGTGGCCATTGCCGGGGGACCCATTTGCCGTGTTCGAGTTCGAGGCGTGTGAAGAGGGGGAGGATTTCTATTAAATTCAGTATAATTGGAAAATACACAGCAGGGGGAGAGATGGTCATGCATACCGAGGATCCACCAGAATATTACCATGAGGAAAGTCGCTCCTCGATTGAACATGAGCATATCGTGTGGCTGGTTCGTGCGTTTCCGCACATCATACGCTGTGGTCCCTGGTTCCTCCTTCCCGGGAAACGCATTCTCCCTTTCCACAACATCTGCAACATTGAGCGTGTGGAAGGACAACTTGCTCTCCGACTTTTCCAGATGAAGAACCTCCTGCAGCATCCAATTCAACGGTGTATCAGACAAAAGGTGGAACTGTCCGGGAGCCAGACTCCAGCCCCCTCCCACATCACCATGGTTCCCTGCAAACCAGACTTCCTTCAGGTCCACTGGCTTGGTCTTGTCAAGCAGCACCAGGGCAGGCTTGAACTTGAGTCTACGTTCATGGATCGATACAGCATGTCGGATGTGTCGAGCCGCCGGACTGACCAGGTATTGGTGCGACTTGCGATGGAAGGGGATCTCGAATTGGCCGACACTGTTCACGCAGTCAAATAATCCGAGAAAATGGATCTGCACTTGCGGGCGGCAGAAGGTAGTATTGAATTTCTTCATATATGAGATTAGTGCCTCATCCTTCGCAGTGCGATCGGTCTTTCCTCGTGCTTGTTGGAAATTGCTGAACGTCTCCCAGGCAAAGTGGATCATCTCTTCGTTGCCTTGGGAGAGAAGACCAAGTTCATGGATCATCTCCGCTAGGAATCGCGCAGTGTATGCTCCTCGCGAGAATCCAAAGATGTAGATATGATCACCTGGAGAGTAATATCGCATGATGAAGCGATATGCTGCGAGAACATGGCTTTCAAAAGTTGTTCCTACTCCTTGATCGATGGTGGTTATGATATTCGACTGCAGTTTTCGCGGATATCGAAGCAATCCGGAGCTGGATGATTGACCTTCGACGTAGGTCCCAATACCGGCTGGCTAATGTGTGAGCTCTGTGCTGAATATTTGCTTTGTTGCTAACTTTACTCTGCAGACTACTCAATGGACAAACTCACGCTGATAATAGTGAAACTGGCCGGGCGTGTTCTTTTCGAGCATCTGGTATATCTTGACGATATTTGAGTCGCGCTCAAACCCCATAAATTGATTGCCAGTGCCATCGAGGCAGAGTACCAGCTTTCGGGGACCAGAATAGGGTGCTTCCAAGCTGGAAGTCTGATCCACAGTTGAGTGTGGCATGGCTTGGAGAAATCCTGGCCAAGTGGAACAACAAAATAAAAGGTACGAAATGGGAAAATCAACAGTCGAAAAGATGGGTGAGTTCTAGAAAGAATGAACTCAGAGATGGCACATTGCGGGACATGCCTAATACCCAGCTTTATCAGAGTAAACGCAACCGTCCAGACAGCAGCACCTTCGGGGACCACAATCATAATGCCCAGCGCCGATCATGACGGGCCGCGGGGAGGTTCCAACACGAACCGCTTGTGGGGGTGTTCGTGAGGTAAAAACTGCCGAGATGAAATCCAGCATCTATCATTGGATCAGCTTTCATGATGATCGTGCCGCGGCATGAGGTCTGTGTCCCGTCGGGGTCCGACCCCTTCTTCATACTGATGATTGGTTTGTCAATATGCTGATCTTGCCAGCTGAAAACCACACTGTTTGATAAACCCCTCTCATTGTCACTCTCCTGCATAGTGGCTGGCTGAATTTTCTCCTCAAGCACGACCACCTGAGGGGGTATCTACCCTTTGCTCTGCATATGTGCCGTCTCTGCCACGAATCAGACGACAGGTGGCTGGCGAAGTCTGCAGACTGTCGCAATGACAGCTCTGGGCGCGGGGCTAGACCAAAACTCATGCTTTCAGCTGGGCTGTGTCCGCAGGATCGATAGGTGTTTGTCTTCTCGGCATTCCCCGTATGGTCTTCAGGATCTCTGCTACCCCAAGCGCCGGGGACGAGGGGTTCCCTTTCAGCTGGCATTGGTGGCCCAGTTCTCACAGCACGCTGCTTCCTAACAGATATTCCTCGTGTATAAGTATTCGGGCACAGATCTCATAATGTATTGCAAAATTATCGCGATAGCTTGCTCTCTTCAACACAAGTAACGACTGTACCTCGCCTAATCTCGCCTTCCTGAATTATGAGCTCCATTTTTATTGCTCTTCTCCTCTGCCTCCTTTCTTTTCTCTACCTGCGGGTCTTTGCAGATGAACCGACACGCCCTTTTCAGATAGTTGCCAAGGTTTTCTCTTCCCATAAACACCCGACATGGAAGTTGAGGCCTCGTTTCCTTCCAAAGGCCACAAAAGCAGCTCTGTCCAGCATTGCCGGGACGGGAGAGGGGCTCTGGCAACGGCTATATGCGAGGATCTTCCATGCACAAGAGCTAGCAGAAGTGGAAGATGACGTGAAATATCAAGCTGGAGAGTCATATGGAGATCCCGATGTCCTTGCCACGGGCCTTGTCAAAGATCTCTCGGCTCTAGGACTCAAGGGCAAGAGAAATGATCTTCGTACACTGATTCAATTAGTGAAGTCTAAAGGAAAGCCGATCGATGATCGTCAAATGCTTGTGAGTCGGCTTCCATCTGTGTCCACATTCAAAGTGCCCTTGCTGATGAGGATTGACCGCTGCAGATGGAAAAAGTCATCGCCATCGTTGCAATGTTGCCGCGAACCTCCAAGTCCCGACAGAGGTTGACCGGCATCCTGGTTGACCAGCTCTGGCAGAGCTTGGAGCACCCTCCGCTATCGTACTTTGGGAACAAGTATCAATATCGCACTCCTGATGGAAGCTACAACGTGAGTATCTATCCAGACCTGTTGTTCAGAACTACGAAGACATGACTGACCTATTCGAATCTGGTCTAATAGAACCCATTAGAGCCTGACCTTGGCAAAGCAGGCAGCCCGTATGCGAGATCGGTACCCCGGCTCAAGGCCCTGCACGGAGTGCAGCCTGACCCTGGCCTTCTCTTTGATCGTGAGTCTTGAGTCTCGAGTGTAGACAGTATAATCCTAACGCTTGAAATCCAGTCCTCATGGCCCGTGATGAAGGGACTTTCCGGGAAAACCCTGCAGGCATCTCCTCGGTTCTGTTCTATCATGCAAGCATCATCATCCACGGTGAGTTCACAATACATGGCTGATCTTTCTGTCAAACCACTTAACACTAAGACCAAATAGATGTCTTCTGTACGAACCGGCGCGACCCCAATATTTCGGATACCTCATCATATCTAGATCTCGCTCCTCTGTATGGTTCCAGCTATGAAGACCAGTTGAGGGTGCGCACTATGGAACGCGGCATGCTCAAGCCTGACACCTTCCACGAGAAGAGACTGTTGGGTCAGCCCCCTGGTGTCAACGTGATCCTTGTCATGTACAATCGCTTCCACAACTATGTGGCCGACGTTCTGCTGAAGATCAACGAGAATGGGCGCTTCACTCTACCGCCAACAACATCCGAGGACGCAAAACGGAAGGCACTGGCCAAGCAAGACGAAGATCTATTCCAGGTGACTCGCCTGTGAGTCAAATTTTTATTATGTTCCTGGTAAATGTATGTGACTAGGGGAAGCTCAACTAACTCCGGAATAGCATCGTAAACGGGCTCTACGTCAACATCTCACTACACGATTACCTCCGTGGACTGACCAACACTCATCACTCGGCGAGTGACTGGACTCTAGACCCTCGTGTGGCCGTGAGTCGGGCCTTCGACGCTGACGGGGTTCCCCGAGGCGTGGGAAACCAGGTCTCTGCCGAGTTCAACCTCCTATATCGCTTCCATTCGGTTATCTCCCGGCGAGACGAACAGTGGACGAACGAGTTCTTGAAGAGTCTGTTTCCCGACCTCAAGAAACCGCTGGAGCAACTTACACCACAAGAGTTCATGCAAGGTTTGATAACTTACGAACGAAGCATCGAGAAAGACCCCAGTAAGCGGGAATTCGGTGGGCTGAAACGCAATCAAAGTGGTAGGTTCAATGATGCCGAATTGGTACAGATCCTGAAGGACAGCATGGAAGATCCAGCTGGTCTGTTTGGGGCCAGGATGGTTCCCAAAGCACTTCGCATGGTCGAAATTGCTGGCATTCTCACTGCACGCAAATGGAATCTCGCGTCCTTGAATGAGATGCGTGATTTCTTCAAGCTGAAGCGGCATTCGTCATTTGAGGACATCAACCCTGATCCTAAGATTGCCGATCTGTTGCGAAAGCTATACGATCACCCGGATATGGTCGAGATGTATCCTGGGATCTTCTTGGAGGATGCCAAACCTGCTATGGATCCTGGGTGTGGTGGATGCCCTCCTTACACTGTCGGGCGAGCGGTCTTTAGCGACGCAGTTACTCTCGTTCGATCGGATCGGTTCTTGACTTTGGTCAGTCAAATCTCTTCTACTCTGCCGCTTTCAAGTGGAGGAGCTAACAGCAATTCAGGATTACACTGCTTCTAATCTCACTAACTGGGGTATTCGTGAAGTTCAACAAGACTACGATATGTGAGTATTCACGAAGCAACCAGGTTCATAAAGAATTGGCTCAGTATCTGACAAACTGTAGATTGGGAGGCTCGATGTTCCATAAATTGATCCAGCGCGCACTGCCCGGATGGTTCCCATACAACTCGCTCCACGCAACCCAGCCAATGTTCACCCGTAAGATGAACGAACAAATTGCGAAAGAGATTGGAACAATCGATAGGTACAGTCAAGAGGATCCAAAACCGCCAACCCATACGGTCATGCTCGCGAAGTATGAGACCATCATTGAGGTACTGAAGGACCAGGATACATTCCGCGTCCCGTGGGCCAGATATCTTAATGACATGCTACCGGGCAAGAGATTCAATGACTATATGCTAGGAGGCGATGGTCCGGGTAACACAGCCCAGAAGAAGCTCGTCAAATCTATCTTGTTCAGCCCGGATCAATTCAGCCAGTTGCTTTCGCATACGACTGTTACGCTGGGTAAAGAATTGCTAGAGTTGAACACTCTACAGCTGTCCACGGAGCTGAATCAAGTTGATATCATTCGAGAGTAAGTTAATCGGGCTTCTGCCACGCACAATGGCTATCACAAATGGAGGCTTACTGACCAATTCTAGCGTCGCAATCCCCCTCAATGCAAGAATAATGGCGGACCTCTTCTGCCTGGACATGAAGACCCCAGAGAACGAATCCGGCAGCATGAATGCAGCAACTGTTTACAAACATCTCATGAATGTCCGCACCTGGGGCTTCAATAATAACGACCCGGGGTTGATGCTGCAACGCAGAAAATGGGCCTCTGAAAGTGCTGAGGCCCTTGTGAAGACTACTCTCAAGGTTGTCAACGAACAAGCCCAACCACAGAAAACCCACATGCTTGCAAGCTTGACTGGCCATAAGCAGTCCGTCAGTACCCTACGCTGGTATGGAAACAACGTAGCAAAGCAGATGATGGAGATGGACATGACTGCGGCCGAGACAGCGGAAATTTGCTGGCTTACAGCAGTTGGGGGTGTTGGAGCGCCTGTTGGACTGGTTCGTATAATCCATTTCCTGACGACGTGACAAACATTCTTCTAACATAATCCTGATCATCTAGATCGCCGACGTCCTACAATATTACCTCCGCCCGGAAAACATCCACCACTGGAAAAAGATCCAGAACCTCGTCTCCCAGCCCGATAACAGCGGCTCCATCGACAAGCTTCTCCGACAATACGTGCTCGAAGCGCAACGTCTAACCAGCATGGAATGCACTGTTCGCGTCTGCAGAGCCCACCGTACCATCAACGACCAGGAATTCAAGCCAGGCGACGTAGTGATCACTCTCCTCGTACGTAGCCCACCTCTATCCACTCATACTCCTCTCACCCTGAAAATCCAACTAACCCCATCCAGGGCCCAGCCTGCCGCGACCCAAGCAGCATCCCCGACGCCGAAACATTCAAGCTCGACCGCCCCTCAAACGCATACATCCACTTCGGCTACGGCGCGCACGAGTGCCTAGGCAAGGAAATCGCATTGACATTCGCGGTCTCCATGCTCCGCGTCCTAGCAGGACTGAAGTATCTACGCCCAGCGCCAGGCGATATGGGCATGCTGAAGAGCATCGTCGTCGATGGGAGAAGGGTCTATCTGAATGATAGTTGGTCGTGGATGACTCAGGATCCGACTAGTAAGTCCTCCTACACAACCATACATCCACCCATCGTATTAACAATATCTCTACCTATAGCATGGAAACTCCACTTCTCAGGCTACGGCCAAGGCGCCTACGAAGCCCCGCCCCCGCCCCCAGCAGCAGCAATACCAGCCTTCGCTACCGCAGACCAGAATCCTGATACCAGCGACGAGAGTGGTGTCGACGATACGATCTACACTGCTGTACCTACTACGCATCACCATCATCCTGGGGGGCCAGAATATATCAGACAAGAGAGCTACACCATGACTGATGGTGGAATGGGCATGGCATCTCAGTATTCGTTCGGACAGAGCCATCATAATCAGTATCAGTATCATGAGGTGACTAGGACGTCTTCGTCGTCGTTGCCTTCTATGTTGGGGGATGATGAGAGTTATGGGAGGTTTTCGGGGACTTTGAATTGATATTTTCATTTGTGTGATAGGGCAGAGGGGTACTGAGGCATTTGTTGTTGTTCATTAATGAATGAGTTGTTGAATCCAAATGACGGATATGTTCTTAGCCGTGATAGGTATCACTATACTGTAGTATCGATAATAGGAACTGAGATACGTTTAAGTAGTCCAGAGCTACGAGCTGTAGCTGCGACTAATGTACCTATCTGTACTGTAACATTCAACAGCAGAACCAGTCATTGCCATATGAATAAGATAGAAAGTGTCGCATTCTTACTATACCTTGATGCAAAAATCCTCCACGAATCCCGGATGGACCAGCCATCCCGTCAGTTTGAACCATGGAACCGTAAACTCTAAATAAAAAAAGGGTCGAAAAAAAAAGAAAAAGAAAAAGAAAGGAAATAAGAAAATAAGGAGAAAAGAAATAGGGAAGAAGAGTAGGAGATAGGAAATAGGAAATAAGAAATTAGGAAGTAGGGGATGACCGCAGAAAGCAGAAAGCAGAAAGCAGAAAGCAGAAAGCAGAAAGCAGAA